TGAAGGAAGAAATATTACGTGGAAGTTTCAGGGTAAAGAAAAAAAACACAAAAAGAAGCAAAACAGACCGATACGCCATTTAATACATTCTGTTTTACAAATTTGTTTCCTCCAAAGTCGACGATTTAGTGTGAAAAATGGGCAGCAGTGGTAGGCTATATGTACGCTACTCCTCACACAGTTTCTCTTTAAGTTGGAAATTGTGGCTCAAAGTGTCTTATTTGTTTACCTCGCGTGCCCCGTCCTCTGCGTCATTCCCCGCCAAATGCGTCGAGGTGAGTGCAGACGATGGCACTTTTGGCGGGAAATGTCTAGTGTGGGAGGATTGTGGGTCGCAGACAAATGAGCATCTTTAAGGAGGGGGGGGGGGAGAGGGTGAGGATGGAATGGGGGGAGGTAGGGTCGGGGATTGAGGGAGGAGGGATAGGGAAGGATGAATAGGCTGAGGATAGAGGGATCAGTGATGGTGGAGGCCGATAATAAAGGGAGAAGGGATGAAAGAAGGAGGGAAAAAGGGAGGAGGGAAGGATCAAAGAAGGATGAAGGAAGGATACATCTCCACAATACTAATGGCCTCCAAGTCGCCGCCCCAGAGTGTATCACCAAACTTTATCTCACCAGTTCTTGTCCTCGATAAATTGGAAATAAAAAAAAGGACAATCTACTCTTTTTTTTTTTACAGACAGGAAATACAATGTAATATTTTGTTGTGTCTTTCTTGAGTATATATATGAGAGACGGGAGCTGTAGTTACTAAGACCTAGAGGTGGAGATATGGGATTATTATTTTATTATTTTTTTCATATTGTTTCGTCAAAATGATAAAAGGTTTTGATAGGTTAGAGAGAATGTTGTGTTGTGTTTACGTTCTAGGGATGTAGTTTATTTTGTGTTGATAGTGAGAATTGACTGATAGTTACACTTTAAAGGAGGGATACTTTGTCTGTCTGTCTGTCTCTCTGTCTGTCACTCTGTCTCTCCCTTTTGAGGACGCCGGGTTCTTTGTTTAATCTAATCCGCCAGAACACGGGGCTTTATCTCTCCATCTATCTCTCAAAGGACTCGTAGTTATGTGTCGTATTTGTCACAGAGAGAGAGAGAGACAGAACCCGGTGGTATTATGTCTCCTTCTCTGTCTCTCTGAAAGCAGGGGATTATCGTGCTATATGTCTCTTGGAAGGTTCGGGGTTATCTCTCTTTCTCTCTGTCTCTCAGAAGGCGCGGGACCATTTCTCTCTCACTTTATCCCTGTGAAAGCACTGTTTTATCCCTCTCTTTCTCTCAGAGGGTATGGAATTATCTCTATGTCTCTCAGAAGGTGCAGGGGTGTCTCTATGTCTCTCAGAAGGTGCGGGGGTGTCTCTATGTGTCTCAGAAGGCGCGGAATTATCTCGTTATGTCTCTCAGAAGGCGCGGTGGTCTCTCTTTGTTTACCCTCTAAGACTGGAAGACTGTGTTTTGTTTGGGGTCTCAGAGGGCGCTGGAGTACACTTTTGTTGATGTTGTGAGAGAGCGCGAGGTAATGTGCTTTGCTTCACGTCCCAGGAGCAATAACAATGGGAAGATTTTAATACAAGTTCTTCACTGTGTAAGAACTAATTTATATGCCATGAAAAAAAAAATATATATATAAACAGAGTGAATGTGAGATAGATAGATAGATAGATAGATAGATAGATAGAGAGAGAGAGAGAGAGAGAGAGAGAGAGAGAGAGAGAGAGAGAGAGCATGTACACATACATACGGACACCCAGATGCGTATCATCATCATCATCATCATCATCATCATCATCATCATCATCATCATCATCATCATCATCATCATCATCATCATCATCATCATCATCATCATCATCATTATTATTATTATTACAATCAGTCATCACCAGAAAAATGAAAAAAAAATAAATAAAAAATTCACCCCTCAAAAAATATGTGAATTCTCTGACCTAGACCAAATTAAGGTCTTCAGATGAACGCAGTCGAGCGAGCCACTCAGCCATTCACCAAAATAATTACCATGAAATTACCGCTCCATTGAGAGTCTCCCAGAGGGTACACAGTCGACCCCTGAGTCCAACATGCCCGGCTGACTATAGTGTGATCCACAATTGATCTGTTCCTCCCCCCCCCCCTTAATAGAGAGAGATAAATTGATCCAGGGTGCTAGGGTGTTGGGGTTGATCCAGGGTGTTGGGGTTGATCCAGGGTGGTGAAGTGTCGCCCTTATTTTTCTGCTAGTCTTGTTTTATTGTTTCTTCTTCTTCTTCTTCTTCTTCCTCTTCTTCTTCTTCCATCTGAGAATTTTCTTCCCTTCTTGCTTCTCCTCTGTGTCTTCTTCCTCCCCTCTTTCACTTCCCTCTCTTCCTCCCTTCCCTCTTTTACATCCTCCCTCTCCCCTTCCCCTCTTCCTCTCACTCTTTCTTTCCTCCCTTCTCTTACTTTCTCCCTTCCTCCACCACTACTCCTCTCCCTCTCTCTTTCTATCTCTCTCTATCTCTTCACTCCTCCCTCTCTCTTCCTCTCCTTCCCCCTCACTGCCACTCCCTTTCCTCCCACCTACCTCCCCTTCACCACCACTCCATTTCCTCCCCTCTCCCCTTCCTCCTCTCCCTACCATCCAGCCCAGGTGCATCAAATGAGGGTAGCTTACTGATGTCTCCCTATTAATTCCCGCGTTATTGGTCCAATACTTCCGCTTCATTAGCATACGGTAGTCAGGAGAACCTTTGTGGGGGGATGGGGGGGGGAATTACCTGGACCCGGCATGATTACCTGTCTAATATTGGTTCCGTGTGTGTGTGTGTGTGTGTGTGTGTGTGTGTGTGTGTGTGTGTGTGTGTGTATGAAGGATCATGCCCTGATATATATTCATACTCCACCTCTCCCTCTCTCCCTGTCCTTCTCCTCCTCCCTCTCCCTCTCCCTTTCCCTCTCCCCCTCTCCCTTTCCCTCTCCCTCACCTCTCCCTCTGCTACCCCTGTTCATACCTTTGTTATCTCACTCACGGAAACATTAGAATTTTGGAGGGAAAAAAGAAACTAGAATTTTTAGGAGGGATTTCCTTTAGCTGGGACGCTTTTGTTGTTGAATTTAGTACATGTTACATATTGTATATCTCTATAACGTAACCCGTATGAGATATTACTGTTATATTAAATACGCGTTACATATTATAAATTCTGTATAGCGTAACCCGTATGAAATGCCGCTGTTGTTATATTAAAGACGTATTGCATATTGTATTTCTACGTATTGTAACCCATATGCCATGTTTTTGTTATATTAAAAACGGTTTGCATATTGTATAACCTGTGTATTGTAACTCGGATTGTGTATGGTGTGTGTGTGTGTGTGTGTTCGTATATTGCATTTTAGCGGCAACTGTATCGTATAGTGTATGAACAACGACAACAGCAACAACAACAGATAACAACAACAACAACAACAACAACAACAACAACAGATAACAACAACAACAACAAAAACAACAACAACGACAACAGCAACAACAATAATTATACATTTTTACGTATATTATCATCATTAACATCTACGATATTTCTACAACCAAATTGAGTTGAATTCATGTTGTTTTTGTTGTTGTTGTTGTTGTTGTTGTTGTTGACCCTTGACATTCAGGTGTGATGTTGACATTTAACCTTTGAGACTCGACCCTGGTGTTGTGTTGTGATGATTCACTTTGTTGGGAAGTTTCTTTATCATGTTTGTTTACTTTTTGTTATTCCCCCGTTAACGAGGAAACGTTCACTCTGACGGGGTTAAGAGTTATTATTATTATTGTTGTAATTATTATTTTCGTTGTTATTGTTGTTGTTGTTGTTGTTATTGTTGTTGTTATTGGGGGTGGTGGTGGTGGCTGTGTTGTAGTTTTCGTTGCTGTTGTTGTTGTTATAGTTATTATTTAGTTGTTAATGCTAAAGTAGTTGTAATAGTAGTTTCATCATTTTGCCATTTACACCGTCGAGTTATTCACTACTCATAAAATACACACCCAATCGAATGCATGTTTTAACACGTACAGTCAGCTGCGGCGCTTAACAACAACAACAAAAACACCAAATTAAACAGAATTAATTTTTTTGAACAATTAAATACGGGTTGAAATATGACGAGCGGCAGTGCCAATTTGTCATTATGGTGTAGAAAATATGAATGTCGTATGCAAATGAGTCGAATACCAATAGCTTTCAATTAGAGGTAAAATCAAATACCTGTTTCCTGTAAAGCTGATTGGACGAGGGTGGTGACCATGGCTGTTTGTGTTATTTGTTGACATGATGCTCACAGGTAATTGGTAAATGCTGTCAGTATGCGTACCTGGGATTAGTAAACATATCAATTGCAAACAACAACTTGACAAGGTGTGTGTGTGTGTGTGTGTGTGTGTGTGTGTGTGTGTGTGTGTGTGTGTGTGTCTTTTTAAGCCTGATTGAAGTGGAGTTTAAGCTTAATAATTTACATCAGACGTACGTAAAATAAGTGTGTGACATGGATTATAAACAAGCTGTATTTTTATGATAATTTTTTGCTGTAGTTGTGTATGTTATTATAAAGGTAAATGTTATGATTTGGTAGTGATGGAAATTGTTTATAAAAGACTGAGAACCTTTGTGGGGCTCCTGAGGGTGTAGAGGGGAGGTGTTATCACGCCCTGGGGAGTCTGGGAACTTCAGTAGTATTTTAATTTTTCACGGTGGGGGAGGAAGGGGAGGTCCTCAAACAGAAGAGACAATGAGTAAACTTAGATGTTGTATTACAGAGGGTGACGACTACTGCCCCACCCCTCCTCCTCTGTCCTGGTGGTTAACGGTGACGACTACTGCCCCACCCCTCCTCCTCTGTCCTGGTGGTTAAGGGTGACGACTACTGCCCCACCCCTCCTCCTCTGTCCTGGTGGTTAACTGTGTCAATAAACGTGTATGTCTGTTTGTCTTTCCTTCTCTAATTTGTTTTCTCTTTCTTTTCTTCCTACAGAGTGATGAAGCGTGACCTGGGGTTCACCCTAGAGTGATTTAACGTGACCTGCCTACCAACCCTCACCTTAGAGTGATGCAGCCTGACCCCGCCCTACCCACCCATTGGGCGGTTGTAGTTTGCTGACCTCACGCTGGCCACACCCACTACCAACAAGACGCCGCCCACACTTCTCCCACTCCGCCCACTCCGCTCACAGCAGGCCATGGACGAGGGTGACGAGGAGACGGGAGGCACGGACGCCCGACCACGGACGATGGGCGGCGACGTGGAGTGCGGGCGGGGCGGAGTGGGTGGCGGAGGTGGAGGAGGAGGAGGCCTCTTGGCCCCACAGCCTCCTCCACAACCCCTCCGCTCCAACCTCCTTGCCCTCTCCACCGCCGATGCAGCGAACAAGGAAGCCAAGAACAAGAACGTTAAGGTAGGTTCTGAAGAACAGTTCTCTTGAGGTTAATATTAATGTTATTTAGGATCACAAGAACAAGAACATTAAGGTGAGCGCCGAAGAACAGTTATTGTTGGTTGTGGTCCCGTGGTTTGGTTGTTTAGGGAACGACAAGATTATGAACACTAATTTAGTTATGGAAGAACATTCTGAACATTGATAAATCTGTCAGAACATTTATCCAAGGTTGTTATAAAGGCGTGCTTAGGCGTCACAGGAGCGAGAACATCTAGAACGATAACGAGGAACAGTTTTTCAGGGTTCCTCACAATAACAGGAGAGGGTAGAACAACACTAGGGATTGTTATTCTCCATGGCAATACACGATTTGTTAACTATGCAACATACATACATACATACATACATACGTGACGCAGAACAGCACTCACCCACACAATGAACCAAACAGCACCGGCCAAATGTCAGGAGTTGAAAAATTTGCATTATTCGTCAGGCGAAAAATAAAGAGAGAGAGAGAGAGAGAGAGAGAGAGAGAGAGAGAGAGAGAGAGAGAGAGAGAGAGAGAGAGAGAGAGATTAATTGACGTCACCTGATTAATGACGTCACCTGCTGAATGTCATCACCTGCTTAATGACGTCACCTGCTTGAAGACGTCACCTGCAATATAGTTCGTTTAGATGTGATTTTGATTTGTCTGCCAAAATGACTGTAAACATGTTTGTAATGTAAGTTGTAAGAGTTAAATGACGTTATTAATTTAGTGTTCTATATATCATGTGTTATAGAATAGTAATAGATGAAACTAAAAGATTATGTTTGTGAGTTACTGTAGGGCAGGTGTAGCGGACCAGCAGGGAGGTAGGACAGGTAGGTAGGAAGGTAGATAGGTAGGACAGGTAAGGTAGGTAGGTAGGACAGGTAAGGTAGGACAGGTAAGTAGGTAGGACAGGTAAGGTAGGTAGGTAGGACAGGTAAGGTGAGAATGAACCTCTGACCTTCACTAATACAACTGTTGGAAGAGCACAAATTAGGTCTTATATCACCCAACGTCAACATCATCCCCGGTAAATGATTTTTTTAAAGGCCATGTCTTAACCCCAGGAGCTGGAGCCGAAACCCGGAACCGGACTCGGAATCGAACTCAAATTTACACTTTTCCTTAATATTTGTTTATGGATATTATAAGCCCAGGGTATAAACAATGACTAATATGAAGTTCGTGTGTAGGCCCTAGAAGAGAGAGAGAGAGAGAGAGAGAGAGAGAGAGAGAGAGAGAGAGAGAGAGAGAGAGAGAGAGAGAGAGTAAAACAAAACGAAGCTCAACTCGCGTCATGTTCCAGGATTACACCTTAACTGAGTCTAATGTTTACGCATCTAGTCTAATGTGAATGGATGGGAGGCTCGAACCCAGAGACATTTTCACCTCTAGTACCGGTGGTATTAAGAGCGTGTTCTGCCTATGTACTGTACTGGGTGTCACTGGGACCCTGTAAACAAAGACGGGAGGATTTATCGTCTGTATGGGTACGGTCGTAGATGGTGTGAGAGTCGCTTGCTGTAGAGAAAGGCATTATTATTGATATCCTTCTTAATAATCAAGTAATATTCGCGTAAAAGCATCATATCTCATAAAAAAAAAACGTTATTAATGATTGGCAACAAGTACATCGTCATAGAAAACGTATTAGACGATCTTGGAGGGGTAACTCGTATATATCAATGATGCCTGTATAAATGTCGCACCTCCAGCCGGGTCGCATGGTCCCCGAGGGAGCCCCGAGCTCTTTGCTTGATCACGGTGAAAGGATCTGAACTGCAGCCACGAGGACATAGATCGCGTTCAAGGCTCCCACTGCCACCAGGTATTGCCCTTGGAGGTGATGGGCAAGGAAAGGGAAAGAGACGGGACATCGAAGGAAGATTAGAGATAGAGAAGGAATAATATGAGACAAGTGATGGAGAAGTTTGGAGGGATAAAGAGGGGATATGAAGATGGAACGATAGGAGTGAGGACGGAAACGGTGAGGGGGATACTACAGGAAACGGTGAAGTTAATGCGGTGGAAGCGGAAAATAGAGTGGAGATGGAGAAAGCGAAAGTGTAATAGAATGATAAGGAGAGAAAGAGAGAGACAAGGACACACACACACACACACACACACACACACACACACACTAAATTTATGGTGAATAAGTCTTTTGTTTTGACGTCTACCCTGTTTGTTGCTCCTCTCTTCCCTTCCTATCTTTCTACCTCTCTCGCCCTCTCACCCTCTCACATCCCTCTCTTTCTCCCTCTCTCACCCTCTCACATCCCGCCTACGTTATTTACTACACGGAAGCTCCTAATCAAAGTCAGGGGGAAGGTGATCCTGCCATATTTCTCCCACACCACACCGTCAGGGGGCGCGTTTCAGGGGGTCGTGTGTCAGAGAGCCGTATTTCAGGGGGTCGTGTGTTAAGGGGTGTGTGTCAGGAGGCGTGTTTCAGTGGGGCGTATGTCATGGGCATGTTTTAGGGGCGTGTGTCGGGGGGGGGAGTGTCAGGGAGTGTGTCGGGGGGGTGTCAGGGGCTGTGTTTCAGGGGGTGTCAGGGGCTGTGTGTCAGGGGCTGTGTTTCAGGGGGTGTGTGTCAGGGGGCTGTGTGTCAGGGGATATGTAAGAGTGTGATGATAGTGATGATGATGACGATTATGATGGCGATAATGATGATGATGATAATAATGATGATAATGAAGAGACTAAAATGACCAATATCACTAATACACAAAAGAAAAAAATCAGGTAACCAAGACTCACAAATCCCAAAAATCCTTTTAAAAACATCCGAAAATATTACAACCCAAAATACGAAAATACACAAAAAAAGAAAAAAAGTTCAATAAAATCGTAAAGAAAAGTCCAACACAATCGTAAAAAAGTCCAACAAAATCGTAAAAAAAGTCCAACAAAATCGTAAAAAAAAAACTCCAAAGAGATGAGAAAAATCGTACTGAAAAGAAAGTCTTGAGTAGAGTGACAGAGGGTGACGGGGAGGATCATTAGGACAAAGGTTGTAGGACAGAGGAGGGGGGAGGGGGGTAGGGGACGAGAGGAGAGGGGGAGGGGAGGGGAAGGGTGGGGGTAGGAGAGGGGAGGGGATAGGAGAGGAGGGAGGAGGTCTATTAGGTGGGGGATAATGAATCAACCCCGACGACGCCCCCCCAATGACGCCCCCTCCTCCATTCCTCCCTACACACCACAGCCCCTATTCAATTACAACCTGTAGTAATGGAGTCTATTCACCTCTTAATGCCGATCGATCTAACCCCTATTCTCACCCGCACACCCCCCACATCCACTACCTCCACTTCCCCACACCATACCCCATTCCTCCCCAACCAACCCCACTTTCCCCTTCCTCATCTATCCCTTGCATCGCCTTTCCTCTTATAGACGCATATATAAATATAGTCAGTGGTATTCCTATCATGTCTATCCATTCCAATTGCCTTTCTCTCTCTCTCTTCTCTCTCTCTCTCTCTGTCTCTCATCACCTTAACGACACAGAGATATAAATAACTACGTTTTGCGACTCGTCCAAAATAAATATGTGGTCCCTTGATCAGATACACAAGGGGGAATGCAAATTACATCAACAATCTACCTTACCGAGACTCACCAATCAACGTCGTCCTCTGATACTGTGGATTAGTTAATAAATAATCTGATTGGCGGCCTGTGATTGGAGGAAAACCAACTATTTTCAACTTTTTTTTTCAAAGGGATTGGGTGGAGAGTTGATACCAGCTCGCGTGTCACTCAGGAACTTTTTTTTTTGCCAGACAAATTGATGATAGGTTTAGGAGGAAGAGGGAAGGGAGGGTGAGAGAAGAAGAGAGAAGAAGGGAGAGTGAGAGAGAAGAGGGAAGGGAGGAAAGTGTAGTTGAGAGACTTTGGAAAATGAGAGACAGAAGGGGAGGAAGGGAGGAGGGAGGGAAGTAGGAGAGGAGGAAGAGGGAGGTTAAAAGTTTATTTCTATATATGTCACACACACAGACACACACACACACACACACACACACACACACACACACACACACACACACACACACACACACACACACACACACAGACCGTCATTCACTTAGCATAGAGTGAGGTAAAAGCCCTCCAGCCAAGCGACCGACACTCCCACACACACCATAACACACAACAATCAACTTAAGAGGTACTTGAATGCGCTAAACGGCCCAATTCGCTGAGTCTCGCCCTGAGTCTATAAGAAAAGGAGGTAGGCAATAAACTCCTTCGTCTTGTGATGAATAGAGAGCGTCTTGAACGGACCCCACCAGCAAACTAGATGGTGGGATGGGTGGGGATGGGTGGGGATGGGTGGGTGGATGGGTGGGGATAGGTGTGGGTCGTTGGGGATGGATGGGAGAGGGTGGGGGATGGCTGGGGACGAGTAAAGACGAGGATCTGAGGGTAGGATCAGTTGGAGGATTCCTTGTGATCATCCCTGAGAGCCCCCAGAGGATCCCACAAGCAGGCAGGAGGAGGAGGAGGAAGAAGGGGCAGGGGAGGAGGAGGTAGGAGGGAGAATCTGTGGATCAACTCCTCTTTTACTATTGGTGGACAGATCGTAGTCAACAGCCTCGTTCTTAGAGTGTGAAAGAGATAGTTATTGCTCTCTCTCTCTCTCTCTCTCTCTCTCTCTCTCTCTCTCTCTCTCTCTCTCTCTCTCTCTCTCTCTCCTACCTTCCTCGAGTGTTTATTAATTATTCTTCCCGTCTTTCACACCCTGTTTACTCACTCTTACTCTCTTCCTTTTATCCTCAGTGTTTATTCTTCACATTCTTTCCTCTGTCAATATTCGTACTGTTTATTCTGTTCTTGTTTTAATTATTTCCTTTTCACTCGGATTTAGGTGAGAGGTTATTAAGGTTTTAGAGAGGGAATATTTTACTGTTGGTGGTGATAAGAGACAGGCAGACAGACAGACAGATAGACAGACACACAGACAGACAGACAGACA